ATGTGACTGAAGGTCGTCTGACTGTAGGTCATGAACTGTAGGTCATGTGACCGAAGGTCATGTGACTGAAGGTCATGTGACTGAAGGTCGTCTGACTGTAGGTCATGTGACTGTAGGTCATGTGACTGAAGGTCATGTGAATGAAGGTCATGTGAGGACCAGAGGAGGGGCTGTAAACCAGCTGTATGTGTCGCCCCCTGCAGGCCGGAGCTCATCCTGACTGTGCTGGACGGCCTGGATGTTCAGGTCCCACATAACATTTCTGACTTTCTCATGCAGCAGCGAGGTGCGCGCTTCCTGGAGTGTCGTTACCGTGACGCTCGCAGCTTCCTGCAGGTTTGTTTATTTTAAAATGAGAGGCGGAGTCATGTGACCTTGTCTGACCTGTGTGTGTCCATGCAGCTCTACCCTGAAGACACTTCAGCTGCAGCTGTGGATTTTCACAGGAAGGCCAAGTCGTTGCTTCAGTTAGCTTCTCGGACACTGGCTGCGCTCCACATCCCGTTCTGGATCAGCAGCGGCACCTGCCTAGGTAACGTTAGTGCTAACATGCTAACATGCTAACGTGCTAACAGTTCAGCCTCAATTTGAAAGGATTCTCAGGGAGGTTTCTGCACTTAGATGTTTACAGAGTTTTTCAGAAGCTGGTTTCAGTTGGTCACATGTTAGAACCACCTCAGAGTTTGTCTTCTGTTTAAACTAACTGTCCTTTATCTCTCTGTACATGTCCCTGTCCTGTCTCTATCCTGTCCCTGTCCTATCTCTATCCTGTCTCTATCCTGTCTCTATCCTGTCTCTGTTTTGTCTCTATCCTGTCTCTGTCCTGTCTCTATCCTGTCTCTATCCTGTCTCTTTCCTGTCTCTGTCCTGTCTCTGTCCTGTCTCTATCCTGTCTCTATCCTGTCTCTATCCTGTCTCTGTCCTGTCTCTGTCCTGTCTCTGTCTCTGTCCTGTCTCTATCCTGTCTCTGTCCTGTCTCTTTCCTGTCTCTATCCTGTCTCTGTCCTGTCTCTATCCTGTCTTTCCTGTCTCTATCCTGTCTCTATCCTGTCTCTATCCTGTCTCTGTCCTGTCTCTGTCCTGTCTCGGTCTCTGTCCTGTCTCTATCCTGTCTCTGTCCTGTCTCTATCCTGTCTCTGTCCTGTCTCTGTCCTGTCTCTATCCTGTTTCTATCCTGTCTCTGTCCTGTCTCTATCCTGTCTCTGTCCTGTCTCTGTCCTGTCTCTATCCTGTCTCTGTCCTGTTTCTATCCTGTCTCTATCCTGTCTCTGTCCTGTCT